GGGGGAGGGGGTGGAGGGGGGAGTGATGGGGATACTGTTTTCACATGGGATGTCTTGGGTTTTAAACAACTCCTTTAGTACAAATATGCAAGCATGATATATGAACAATAAGATACTGTTGATTACTGCCATGGTCTATTAAAGAATTGATAAGAACAGTGAATTGAACAGTTCAATCATATGTACTAATCCTTCCTACATTTTCTCAAATGGTTCAGGAGGAGAGTGACTTTCCGGTGATTGAACCCCTGCCATCGTATGGTCGAGGAAGGGATGCACCAGATGGAAGGTATATCAGTCTTATCTTTGGGACCAATCTCACTGATGTCATAATAACAGGTACTAAGCCCAAATGTTTGATTTTTTTTTTTGTTAAGACTAAGAATTGTACTCTTTTGTTCGCCTATTCTGATTGTTTCTTAGCATATATAAGTATTGTATGATTGGTTTAGGGGACAATGGCACCATTGATGGCCAAGGCGCCATCTGGTGGGATAAATTCCACAATGGAGAGCTAAATCACACCAGGCCTTACCTGATCGAGATCATGTACTCGGATAGCATTCAAATATCGAGTCTTACATTGGTCAATTCTCCATCATGGCATGTTCACCCTGTATATTGCAGGTTAGCCTACCTCCTCTACCTCAAGTAGATATTGTATTGCTTGCTTCCTCATTCGTTATGTGCCTAAATGACACTCGTATATTAAGGCACATGCTTTGACTCTACATGCAGCAATATTATTGTTCAAGGCATTACAATTATTGCACCAGTCGCAGTTCCAAACACTGATGGGATCAACCCAGGTATATCCATGGAATCTGAAACGTTCTCACTTATCAATGAGATAAATGAACCGCAGATTCATTGAGTTTGTACTTTTCTTTGTGTACATTGTTCAGACTCTTGCAGAAACACTCTAATTGAGGACTGTTACATTGTCTCTGGAGATGATTGTATTGCTGTAAAGAGCGGCTGGGATCAGTATGGAATCGCTTTTGGGATGCCAACCAAACAGCTTGTGATCAGAAGGCTCACATGCATTTCTCCAAAGAGTGCCGTAATTGCATTAGGCAGCGAGATGTCGGGTGGAATTGAGGACGTTAGGGCCGAGGACATCCTGGCCATCAATTCAGAATCCGGGATTAGGATCAAAACGGCAGTTGGCAGAGGAGGATATGTGAAGGATATATATGTTAGAGGGATGACCATGAAAACTATGAAATGGGCTTTTTGGATGACAGGAAATTATGGTTCTCATGCTGATAACAATTACGACCCCAACGCTCTTCCCGTGATCCAGAATATCAATTACCGCGACATTGTTGCTGAGAATGTGACAATGGCAGCTGACTTGGAGGGAATTCATGGTGATCCATTCACTGGAATATGCATATCCAATGTCACTATTGGGTTGGCGCCGAAAGCAAAGAAGGTTCCTTGGAATTGCACTGATATTGCAGGAGTTTCAAGTGATGTGACTCCTCCGCCCTGTGATCTGCTGCCGTACCAGGGACCAAAGAACATCACAGCATGCAATTTTCCGACTGAGAGGCCAGCAATCGATAATGTTGAAGTCCAGATGTGTTCTTACAGAAGGAATTATTTATGAGATAATGTAACAGTTACAAATGATAGGCTCAACTAGTTCAAGCTGAAAGTTTAAGCTTGATTTATAGCCAGTAATAAACTCTAACTCTTGATGACTTACAATGACATGATCCGCATTAGTACTTTATCACTTAAATCTTTTGCTTGGAGGCTCACAAGCTGTCCCAACTCATACAAAAGTCTGCATCCACAGGTTATCCTGAATTTTTGCTTGTACATCAAGAGACCCAAAATTGGTTTGTGTAGCTTTGCTTCATCTATTTGCACAAGATCAACTCAAAGATCTTCAAGGATAAGCAAATTACTTGCGATGCTGATTCTATCTAGACGGCCAAATGTCGAACAAACAATATATTCCAAGCAAGGGGAGAAGCTAATGGACTGAACCGGATCTATGCACCACCACTTTGATTCACTTCTGTCTAATGGACTGGATCTGGATTGAATTTTACTGATTCCCTCCAGATAAGCTCCTTAATGTTCTCCTCGGTAAATGATGGCTGTTCAAAATCGAAACCGAAAAGCCTAGGGCAAATGGGCTCATCATTGATGGTATGAAGAGATGACAGGTAGGGATGACAAAGAGCCTCATCCACTGCAAACAGAACCATAGGACCAAACAATAAGTGCAAAAAATAGACACAAATGATAAGTGATTCCTTGAAAATATTATAGCTCCAAACCTAACGTTCCTTCTACCTGTAATGCGCTTGTTGGGATCGAACACGAGCATTTTCTCTAGCAAATCAACAGCCAATGGCGACATGTTGCGGAATTTAGCTGAGAATTGCTGCTTTGGGTATTGGGGAAGCTGTCTAATATACCTCCGGGCATTATCACTTTGGAGAAATCTAAGATTGGCGTCATCAGGCGTACCTAATAGCTTTCAGACCGGAGGATGAGAACATGTTAGAAGCAAAGTTAAAAAGTGAAAATTAAAAGAAACTTCGCTATACAAAATCATTCCTCTCTTCCCTTCGCGTCAAATTTTCTACATTTTTCATATGAGCACACAGATCAGTGTTTTATATGATATTCACCTACTCTATATTATGTAAACCAGGATCAACAGAATGCAAAAGTTATACTATCCATGCCAAAACTAACACAGGTAACACGATCATCAGGGACAAAGCCAGAAATCCTAGAAAGTGAGGGCCAGAAGAGCTTATATTAGAATATACATTAATACATTAATTTCCACTTTTTTCTCCCATCAACAGTCATAACAGTCTTGTGGTCCAATCCAATTAGTATAGTGCAGTTATAAAAGATTTTATGATGTTCCCAACTTCCCGCAAAACTCTTCAAATTTAGTGTGCTAGGGATACCTTCTAGCAGGAATTAGGCCAGCTGGACAGATCAATAATACAGCAGAGAGAGAGATTCCAAATCGCTTATTCACTCAACCTGAGCACCAGGTAGGCCACCTTTTTTTTTTTGGGGGGGGGGGGA